TCCTAACCACTTCATTTGGAGTTATTTCTGGTTCATTTCTTTCCTTAGAAGTTCTGTTCACTAAATCATAACTCGTAGACATTCCTTCCGGTCAGCTCCTGCATGCCATTCTTTTTCCCCTGCAGGAGAGAAGGCGGGTAGTATTCCTTTTTATTTTCTTTCTTTTTTTTTTTTTTTTTTTTTTGAGACGGATTCTTTCTCTGTTGCCCAGGCTGGAGTGCAGTGGCACGATCTTGGCTCACTGCAACCTCCACCTCCTGGGTTCAAGCAGTTTTCCTACCTCAGCCTCCCAAGTAGCTGGGGTTACAGGTGCATGCCACCAAGCCCGGCTAATTGTTTTGTATTTTTAGTAGAGATGAGGATTCACCATGTTGGCCAGGCTTGTTTCTAACTCCTGACGGCAAGTGATCCACCCGCCCCGGCCTCCCAAAGTGCTGGGAACAGGCGTGAGCCACTGCGCCCGGCCAAAGGTGGGTAATATTCCTTAAGACTCCACTGTGATGTGGGAGCACATCCCTGGTAGGCCAGATCAGACTCCTGGTCTGAGAACATTCAGCTGAGTAGGAGGAGTCCTGAAAAGAGCTAATTAACCATCAGAGAAATCATGTTCCAACTGATATGCTTGTTCTCGGCAAGCACAGTCCTCCACCACAGCCAGTCTGATAATTGGATAAACAAGACCTCAGAGGCTCTCGGGGGCTGAAACGAGAGATGAAAACGTACTTTATGTGGCTCTCTTTACTGTAATCACCAGTTAAAGGGACGGCAAGGAGCTTAACGAGCTCATTACAACCTTAGCGCCTGTGATCTCCGCACACACTCCCATGGCGGCCGCAGGATAGGACGTCCTTGAAGGCCTTGCTGGGCCTTGGCCTCAGCCCATGCTGTTTTCATCTCCACCAGAAAGCAGCTGGTGTCTCTAGTACCAGCTGTTGGGCCACATGGAAAATAAGCCAGGAGTTGGTACAAATGTGTTCCTAGGCAAACAACTAGCATTTTCTTAATCTGGACACAGAGCAAGGAATGCCAAGCTTGGATTTGGATAATCCTTTTCCTCAGCTCAGTTTTTCCAGCCGTTCTGCTCTGCTTTCAGAATTGCTGGCCTTCCGCTTGTGATTTCTCAGAGCCTCCTGCCTGGCTCTGGTCTCCTTAGAAGTTCTATTCACTAAATCACAAGTTGCAGACATTCCTTCTGGTCAGCTCCTGCATGCACACTAGGCCATTCTTCCCCCACCCCTGCCCAGGAGAGAAGGTGGGTCGTATTCCTGAAGACTTCACTGTGACATGGGAGCACATCTCCGTTAGGCCAGATCAGACTGGTCTGAGAACATTCAGCTGAATAGGAAGAGTCCCGAAAACAGCTAATTATTCATCAGATAAATCATGTTCCAACTGATACATGACCTGGCTCTAGCTCCATGCCTCTAACCCACAGAGATTGCGCATGGCACTGCAGAGAGCCTAAGCCCCTGGTTTGGGAGCCCCTGGTCGTTGCTGGGATGAGAACTTCTGGCTCTAGAAGTTGATCTCTCTTGTCAGAGCAAGTGTTTATTTGATGAATGCCAGACCCTCACTGACCCATGGGGAGACTTCCAGGAGCCCTACCCAGTTCCACCAGAACCCATCTACAGCTGTTCATTAAAGAAATCTGAATAAGATAGAGGCACGGGTCAGCACCCATGCATTACTACAATTACTTTTGCACCAACCTCATACAACAGAATGCAACTTGAGGGATGCCCCACACAGGACACCAGAAGGGGCAGGGCAGAGAAAAGAGGCAGTGAAGAGGTGGGAGGAAGGTGAGGCTGGGGGGCTGGAAGGCAATGCCAGCCAATCCCAAGCCAACTTGACCTGAGGCTCTGTGGCAGCTGCTCCTTTAAGAGAGGTAAAGATAACTGGAGTTCAACTCAGGCAATGTTCAACTGAAACCCTCATCAATACAAACATCCTAAAACGTGTGACTCTGGCTGCCACTGGCACTCGAGGCCAGGTGACATCTGTCATTAGAACCAGGTAATAGTTCCCTCCACCCAAGGGGGCGATGCAGTTTATGTTAAGGGCACACTAATTTGAAATCCCAAATCCTGGCTGTCAGCGTAAGCATTTATTGTGTGGCCTGATAGATGTATTGCCCACAGTTCCAGGTAGATCAACTTTTTATAAGTCAAGTCATATTTCAAAATCATCAGGTGAATACTCTGTAAACGAAGAAATATTCCTGAATTTAACTGCTCCATAAATCTTCATTTACATTTATTCGATTTCCTTAAGGGATACAGCTATGACCAGGATTATTGATTGGTATGGAAATAGCAACATCAACACTGAAAGTTACCTGACGGACTCTTGGGATGAGAAGAAATCTGGATTTTTTCAAGTAAGAAACAGGTACTGCTGTCCCTACCAAAATGATAATATTTTTTTTTTTTGAGATGGTTTTTTGCTCTCTTGCCCAGGCTGGAGTGCAATGGCGGGATCTTGGGAACCTCTGCCTCCTGGGTTCAAGCAATTCTCCTGCCTCAGCCTCCTGAGTAGCTAGGAATTAAAGGCATGTGCCACCACACCCGGCGAATTTTTTTGTATTTTTAGTAGAGATGAGAGTTTACCATGTTGGCCACACTGGCCCTGAACTCTTGACCTCACTCAGGTGATTCGCTTGCCTTGGCCTCCAAAAGTGCTAGGATTACAGGCATGAGCTACCGCACCCAGACCAAAATGATAACACTCAAAGTGATAAGACTAATCCATACCTGTTACCAATACCATAGTGAATGAGTTTAGAGATCTTTGCTTGAAAAGGGGGGGCCCGTATAGAAAAGCCACAAAGTTCCAGGCTTTTTGAGGTATGGGGAGGTAGCAAGGAACAGAAAGAGAGGAAAATGGACAGAAATGAAAAGGTGAGGTCACCCAGGGCAAACTTAGTCAGCTTGCCAATTTTACCTGGGGTTCAGACCTCTCTTTTCATTTCCAATTTGTGGATGTGGGGAGGTGCAGGAAGGGGGACGCTCTTCTGGCACTGGGTAACCGTCAAGCCCAATCTAATCAAAATCACTCTAAAGCACTCGAGGACTGGAGAAGAAAAGTAAAAATTGAACACAAGAGATGTAGATAAGATGCTTCCTAAATTCTCTGAAGTTTTCATGGAGTAAGATTCTGAACCAAGTTCATTCTCTCCCTCTCTTTCCTTAAATAGACTATAACCTATGGTGGCCTGGGAGCCAGGCGGAGGGGCCACAACGAAACTGGAGAGGCGTCTCTCTGTCATTCCCCAGAGTAAAGAGCTGGTTTCTGACAGGGTGGTCGTGGCATTTCTAACGGGTGTCCTTGGCACTTCTACAGTGCCCAGTACGGCTCAAGAATATTCACTCTGTATTTGCGGGTCTGCCTCTGGCAGATGTGTGTTGACAAGCACTCCTTCCAGACCCTATAGAATAGGCAGGTGCCACCATATGTGACTCAGAAACCAAGGCAGCCCAACCTGTCAGGCCTTCAGTGTCCAGCTCCATCCTCTCCAATATGGTCGACACATACAGCTACTTGACTTTAAATTAAAATTAATTAATTTTCAGTTCCTCCATTGCAGTGGCCACATTTCAAATGTTGAACAGCCACATGTGATTAGTGGCTATTGCACTGGTGGCACACATACAGAACATTTCTGTTATTGCTGTAAATACTATTGGAATGTGTACTACTATTACGTTATTGCTGTAAATTCTTTTGGAAAGAGCTAGTCTTCAGCTGAAAACCTGCCTTTTTTACAACTAGCCCATGTTGGCCACATTGCTCTCTCTCTAGTACGTCCTTATTCACAGAGGAAAACCAAGATAATGACTAGCAGGATTTTTGTTTGTTTGTTTGTTTGTTTGAGACGGAGTCTCGCTCTGTTGCCCAGGCTGGAGTGCAGTGGCGTGATCTTGGCTCACTATAACCTCTGCCTCTGGGTTCATGCCATTCTCCTGTCAGCCTCCTGAGTAGCTGGGATTACAGGCACACACCACCATGCCCTGCTAATTTTTGTATTTTTTATAGAAATGGGATTTCAACCATGTTGATCAGGCTGGTCTTGAATACCTGACTTCGTGATCCACCTGCCTTGGCCTCCCAAAGTGCTGGGATTACAGGCGTGAAGCACCATGCCTGGCTAGGATTTTTTTTTTTTAATCTCTGGAAAGCATATGTCCACTATGATACTAAACTATAATTACAGCTGAAGTAATACTTTCTGGTTAAAGAGAACTAAGTAAACTATGTTTAGAAAGAGATTTGGCCATCACAATAGAAACCTCACATTTCATTTCCCTAAAACTTAGGAAGTAGGAAGACAGGTTGAAGGAAGAGAAAGCATGATTCAAATACAACTCAGAATGTGAGTTCAGTGGTTTTTTAAGAACCTGTACTTTTTTTCTTTTCCCTTCCCTTCCCTCTTCCCTTCCCTCTTCCCTTCCCTTCCCTTCCCTCTTCCCTTCCCTTCCCTTCCCTCTTCCCTTCCCTCTTCCCTTCCCTTCCCTTCCCTCTTCCCTTCCCTTCCCTTTTCCCTTCCCTTTTCCCTTCCCTTTTCCCTTCCCTTCCCTTTTCCCTCCCCTTTTCCCTTCCCTTCCCTTCCTTTCCGTTCCTTTCCCCTTTCCTTTCCCCTTTCCTTTCCTTCCCCTTCCCTTTCCCTTTCGCTTTCTTTTTTTTTTTTTTTTTTGAGATAGAGTCTGGTTCTGTGTCCCAGGCTGGAGTGCAGTGCTGCGATCTTGGCTCACTGTAACATCTGCCTCCTGGTTCAAGCCATTCTCTTGCCCCAGCCTCCCAAGTAGCTGGGATTACAGACAAGTGCCATGATGCCGAGCCAATTTTTGTACATGTTGTAGAAACAGGGTTTTGCCATGTTGCCCAGGCTGGTCTCAAACTCCTGAGCTCAAGCAATCCTCCTGCCTCGGCCTCTCAAAGCGCTGAGACCATGAGCCAGAGTACATGAGCCACCGCGCCCAGCCTGAACCTGTGTTTCTTACCTGTACACAGTATGAGGGACATACACTTCTCGTATTGGAAATTCCAAAATCTCTTTGTGTGGGCGTGTCCGGTTTTCAGGAAAGGGTCTCACAAGCAGCATTTCAGGAGTCAGACAGCAATTGATGATCTCTGGAGCTGTAGAAATCTCCAGTCTGAGCAAGCCTAAGAGAGGAAACAGGAATGTTCTAGTAAAGAAACTGTCATGTTATGAGGGAATCATGAAAGACTTGTACAGTGCTGCTTTCATGAAAATAAGAACAAACTATAGTACGATAAAACAGTTGTGGAGCTAATTTCCTGCAGCTCGAGGAAAGCATGTCATGAGAACTTTTGAGATTTAACTCCCATAAAATAAAATATAAAGCCAGAAGTTGTAAAATAAGTAGGAATGGATTAGAGGATTTCTAAAGTTCTTTCCTGAATTACCACACTATAATTGACATCGTTAAGTAACTTCCCTGCATTGCTAGCTGCGAAAGTGGGTAGTTTTAAAACTGGCTTCCCTGGACCTGAGGATGCTATGGAAGTACCTCCAGGGTCGCTGAGCTGAGGATAAGGAGGGTGACTTTGCCTTCTACCAAAGCATCTCACATTCACTTTTTAAATACTAAGTATAATATTTTATTTGACTAAAGAGACTCCTTTGTTTAAACAATTTTCGGCCAGGTGTGGTGGGTGGCTCACACCTATAATCCCAGCACTTTGGGAGGTCAAGGTGGGTGGATTGCGAGGTCAGGGGTTCAAGGCCAGCCTGGCTAAGATGGAGAAACCCTGTCTCTACTAAAAATACAAAAATTTGCTGGACGGGGTGGCAGGCGCCTCTAATCCCAGCCAGTTGGGAGGCTGAGGCAGGAGAATCTCTTGAAGCCAGTGGGAAGGAGGTCGCAGTGAGCCGAGATCACGCCACTGCACTCCAGCCTGGGCGACAGAGTGAGACTCCGTCTAAAATAAAATAAAATAAAATAAAAAATTCTCATTATCTGAGAAACCAGATCTAAAGCACAGGGTTTGTTTATGAAATCAATCCTTTAAGAAAATTAAAAACACTAACAGGTTTGCCAATTCATAGTCTTAATTCCTAACACAAAATCTCAAATTTCACTTGGCAAAGATGATTTTATAAATTCTAGCATTAGACAAAGAATATGTCTAATGATAAGCAGTTTTGGCACAGCTAAAGAGGATAAGACAGGTCATTCACACCTGGAATTGACTTGACTCGTCTCTGTAAGGATGAAGATCTTTTGTAGTCAGCTAAAAACTTGAATAAGTCTTCATCACTAAGGCGATCTCCTTCCTGCCAACAGAAAAGTCAGAGTTAGCGTAGATGCACCTTTGATGCTTGGGTTGGGGACCAGTGATTTCTGGGAAGATTTTTACCTTTAAGTTTTTTTCTCATAAGTCTTTTATAGAAATTAGGATTATAGGCAGCTCTGATATCATTTAGTTCCACCTCTTGTTAAACCCTCCTCACTGATGACTCACTGTGCCTCAGCCTCTCATGAGTCCTTCTGGGGATGGGGCTTCTGCTGCATTCTAAGGAAGCCTGTCTGACCATTAGAAATCCAGGCCAAAAGCTTCTCCCTCTATACTCCCACCCTCTGATGCCAGTTTTACCAGCTGGAACAATACAGAATAAGTTTACTTTCTTCTTCAAAGGCCTGAAGGTGGAGAAAGCATCTTTCCTTCTCATTGTCTTCACATCTGTCTCGAACAAGAAGGTTAAGCAAAAACGCTACCCACCCTCACATATGCCCAAGATGGGTCAGGCACTCTGCCAAGGGACACACATGCATGATCTCCAATCCTTACAACAACCCAGTGAGGTAGGTAGGTAGATACGTCTTATTCCCAGTGAGAACATCCAGGCTTAGCTAAGTGCCTTGTCCTCCAAGGTTGCATGACTGGGAAGGAATGCAGCCTGAATAGAAACCTTTTCAGACCCTATTTCTATTGTGTGGCATGGTGCACAGACCCCCTTAGCATCCTTTTTGCATTTCAGTTTGTTAATGTAACCCTTTTAAATGCTCCATGAAGACTGTGTAGCTATGGAAAACTTTCCAAAACAGAGTTAGACCAAGTGAGTTTATTTTAAGTGTGGCAAAATATAACTAACATAAAATTATCCTAACTCTTTTTTTTTTTCTGAGGGCGAGTCTCACTCTGTCATGCAGGCTGGAGTGCAGTGGTGCAATCTCAGGTCACTACAACCTCCACCTCCCAGGTTCAAGCGATTCTCCAGCCTCAGCCTTCCAAGTAACTGGGATTAAGGTGTGTGCCACCACACCTGCCTAATTTTAATATTTTTAGTAGAGACGGGGTTTCACCATGTTGGCTAGGCTGGTCTTGAACTCCTGACCTAAAGTAATCTACCTGCCTCGGCCTCCCAAAGTGCTGGGATTACAGGTGTGAGCCACCATGCCCGGCCCATCATACCTATTTCTAAGTGCACAATTCAGTAGTATTAAGTACATTTGCATTGTTGCGCAACCAACCTCCAGAATGCTTTTATCTTGCAAACAAAACATCTGAAACTATACCCTTTAACCAATGACTCCCCATCCCCTTTATCCTTAGACCCTGGCAACCATCATTCTACTTTCTGTCTCTATACATTTGACAAGTCTAATAAGTTTTGTATTTTTTTTAATAGTCTTGATGTTTACTGAGCTAACAAAGAGTAGCATCTGGAATGGTTGCCCTCTCTGAGCAAGCAGGGAGCCCTGGAAATGTGCACATCAAGCAGTAGTGAAAGTGGAACCCCTAAGATCCATAGGGAAGGAGAGGTCCCAGTCAGACTGTTGTCATAGCCGAATGAATGGATTGGCCAAGCTGGTTCAAATGGGAAAGTCTGTATCAGTAGGAACAAAACCTAATCCTTTTCTCAATTAAAATAGCTAACATTCATTAAGGACTTACTGTATTCCAGGCATTCTAAGATGAGCTTTACAGGTCCCATGTCACCTGATCTTCCCACTGGCCACATAGAGCTAAGCACTATGGTTCCCATTTTGCAGCTAATGAAACCGAGGCTGCGTGAATGCTGTGGGTTGAATGTCCCCTTCAAAACTAATGGCGAAGCTTGGTCCCCATGGTGGCAGTGTTGGGAGGTGGAGCCTTGAACACGTGATTGAATCACGAGGACTCTGCCCTCACGAATGGATTGATCCATTCACGGATTAATGGATTAGCGGGTTGTCATGGGAGGGAGCTGGTGGGTTTATAAGAGGAAGAGAGACCTGAGCGAGCATGCTCAGCTCCTCACCATGCTCCACCCCAGGACCCTGCAGAGAGTCCCCACCAGCAAGAAAGCCCTCACCAAATGTGGGCCCTCAACTTTGGATTTTTCCACCTTCATAACTGTGAGAAACAAATTCCTTTTCTTTATAAATTACCCAGTTTCAGGTACTCTATTATAAGCAACAGAAAACGACCTAAGACAGTGAGGTAAACTAATTTTCTCTCTTAATCACTGCATATACTCCTCCTGCGGGTTCCCGTGCCCATGCCAGCATGGGGAAAAACAGACACACACTGTAATGTGAAGAGATACCTGCTTGAAAAAGCTGTTAACGCTCAGGGTGGAGGTTTTGAAGTTGGATCCAGCCCCATTTTCCTCCAAGGAGAGGGCTCTTTCAGAAAGCCGTCTAGATTGGGCCAAAGTCCTCCGTTCACCCGCTGAGCTTCTCCCTTTAAGAAAAACAACTGTCATTCCAAAGTATGCCTTTCTGTTCAAACACACAGCAGTTATTAACTTTAAGATATATATGTTTCAAGTCACTGATCAGGAACACTGAATATGGCCCTCCTTGTTTTGAATGAAAATGTCCTTCCATTGGCCCCTACCTTTCTTAGTCCTGTTGGCATCGTTAATCCTCCTCCAGCCAGAGGAGAGAGGCCAGGAGCAGCCATGGGCCCCTCCCACATGAAGTTATGGTAGACCAGATGCCACCCTGCAAGAGTCCAGAGCTATAGCCAGAACAGGGTCTCCTGATAAGCTTTATTTAGTCAGCACACTGTTTGCTTTTCTTTTATTTTTATATTTGCGTTCCACTGGGAGAGGCATGTACTCAAATGCCCCTGAAGGCATTTGGGATTGTGACCCAAACATGCTGGGGTCAGCCTGTGTACATTTGAATCTCAGTGTTCCTCTGCTCTCATCGTGTGGACCAGGCAGCAAGACTGAGTTTCTGCCTTGGCTGATCTGTCAAATGGGAATTAGAGCCCCAAACCACACTCAGACTTGGGCTGGGACCCTGATACTTTGCCCAGTTGTTTCTTATCCCCTTTGGGATTTGGGTGGAAATCTTGTTGCTTTTATGTTGTAAAAACTCAGGGGTTCTGTTGTTAATAACACACTTGAGTTCTGTTGTAAATAATCAAATTGCTTAGAACTCTAAGAGTTCCACCTCCTGTCTTTGAATATCTTCTTATTCTTAATTCTTACCATGACGCTGAATTAGAATTTCTTGCTACCTCTACGCACCTAAACCTGCCATACCACCTCAGTATAATACATGACATCTTTGGATCTTCTGATTGCTCCTTAAGAATCAGTCTCTGCAGTCAGGTTATCCTTGGCCTAGAGATGACTGAGGCCTCAGCATGTCCCATACCTGAATTACCTAGTTGTGGTTCCCTCTAAGCTCTATAGATAACTCTTATCAATAAGTTACCTGGGTCTACATAGATGTTGGCATTAAAGAAAGCTGTGGCAGGAAGATCAGGATGTGGTAAAGTGAAGTTTGTTATTGACGAATCAGAAATAACCCGGGAGTTCCGACTGGTGATTATGCACCAGTAACTCCAAAATAGCAGCAGCAATCACAAAATGTCCTTTCTCCCACTTCCCTGCTCAAGGTAACATTTCAGAAGTGGCTTAAGTCTTAGCTTAAGGAATGCATGAAAAAATGTGAACGTAGACGTAGACTTAAATATTTGGCAGATACGAAAGCATTTAGGGAAACAGAAACCCCACCGCAGGTGCTGTGGGTGGGTCAACTTGAAATCTTGAGACCCTTTTGAAAAATTCTACAACCAAGCAGTGTAGGAACGAATGATTCAGATCAAGGGTGAGATGATGAAAAAGAAATATGCTAAATAAACTAAAACAGTAACTAGACATTCTTTGGGTGCCTACTTTTTCATTGCACTTGGCAAAGTAAACTTTAAAGGACTGGAAATTTTGCTGAGAAACCTGAGTTTTGCTTTTTGAAGGCTTTGTAACGGAGGCTTTTTTTTTTTTTTTTTGGTTTAGGAGTCGACCAGGGTATCTCTGTTTAACACACTATAGATGGTTACTACATTTTCTTATTTTTAAAGTTTTACTTTTGAGAGGGTGTTAATTTTTTTTTACCAAAAATTAACTTTTTAAAGTGTCAAACCATCTAGAAAATCTTACTATAAGAATATACTTAATCTTTACCAACGTTCATAATTTCTTTTGGAGATCACTGTCCAATCAAATATATGTCATCCAGTTATAAGAGTGTTTCATTCTATTTATCTCCTTCTTCCCTCCCACTCCCTACACCTCACTGCGCCCCCAACGACCACTAGAAAGCAGTGGACCTGAGCGGTGGCACACTGGGCAGCCCTCCCTTTCCCACTGCAGGTGAAAATCTTACCAACCACAGGGTCCACATCGGTTACCTCCCGCTCCAGGGTGGAGACATTGAGGAAGCTGGATAAGCTTATGGGTGCCCATGCAAAGGGCATCCGGTATTTCCCCAAACGCTGGCAGAAAGATTCAGCTTGGAGTTTTAGTTTTTCAATCTTTTCTTTACTCTGCAGGAAAATGGAAAGAAACAAGCTGAAACACGCACCAGCACCAAGGCAACGGCCTCTGGCCTGAATGCGACAGCTATCTCTAAACTCCAAACTCCGCTGATTAAAAAGACTCAATAACTATCTTCCCATTGAAAAATAAAAACAGTGAATAGGCAGAAAAATGACACACTCAGGCCAGAAGTTTAGCTGATAAGGAAATAAAGATTAAAAAACGAGTTTACAAGAAGGCTACATTTAATTAGTAAACGACACTTTTAGCTAAAAAAAAAAAAAAAAAAAGGGGGGGGGGGGCTCATTACACCAGATTATCAATTCTTTTGGTGGCTACCTATAGGACTTGGATTTGCATAAGAGAATCTTGAAATCAAAAGTTTCGTATATCATCTACCAAGCTCCCAAGTGAACCTGTTTCTCCGAAAGTTGCCTTGAAAAACTCCAAAAAATTCCAAAAAGTTTCCTAACAACTCCTTAGGAAGTTTACAACACTTCCAAGGTGTGCTTTCTGAGTTCAGAATAAAAGATAGATTTAAAAAATCAAACGCCTTGAGTTCAATAAATCTTACTTGACATTTATGAGCCTGTAGTGCAATACTGATTAGGTAAGCCTTATTCCAGTAAGGCCATTATTTATTTATTTATTTTTTGAGACAAAGTCTCACTCTGTTGCCCAGGCTGAAGTATAGCGGTGCAATCTTGGCTCATGGCAGCCTCTGCCTCCTGGGTTCAAGCAATTCTCCTGCCTCGGCCTCCCGAGTAGCTGGGATTACAGGTGCGTGCCACCGCTCCTGGCTAATTTGTTGTATTTTTAGTAGAGACGGAGTTCGACTGTGTTACCCAGGATGGTCTTAATCTCCCGACCTTGTGAGCCACTTGTCTTGGCCTCCCAAAGTGCTGGGATTACAGGCATGAGCCACCACACCCTGCTAAGGCCATGTTTTAAAAATCACACTGGGAATCTTTGCAAATTGCTGCTGAGAAAAGACATCCTTTTCATAGACTCAACACCTATGCTGTGTTAATGAATTTATAATGCATGGTAGTGACAGCCAATTCCCAATTATTTGCGTACCTGAAAGGGCAGTGGCCCATGCTGTTGAGGAAGGCCAAGAGAGCTCTGGGACTGTTCAGTTTCGGGGTGTCTGTGGACCTCCCAACCAGCTGAGTCAGTGCCTCAGAACCAAGATAACAGGGGGTGGCCTTGCCCCAGACAAGTTATGCAGTCAGACCCTTGTGTATGTCAACATTAGAAAATTCAAGGATTTATTTCTTTAAAAAGTCATCATCAGGCTGGGCATGGTGGCAGACATCTGTAATCCCAACACTTAGCAAGGCCGAGGCAGGAGAATCACTTGAGACCAGGAGTTTGAGACCAGACTGAGCAACACAGTGAGACCCCAACTCTGCAAAAATTAAAAAAACTAGCCAAGCATGGTGGCATGTGCCTGTAAGTACCAGCTACTCAAGAGGCTGAGGGGGAGGATCACTAGAGCCCAGGAGTTCAAGGTTGTAGTGAGCTGTGATTACACTACTGCACTCCAGCCTGGGAGATAAAGTAAACAAACAAACAAGAAACAAGAAAACGAACAAAAAGTCAACACCAGTGACCAGTTTCCTTTTCTTCTTTCATTTCATTACAATGTAGTAGTGTCTCATGTAGGGACCCACTAGGGACGAAAGCCCATTAACTGTTTTTTGTAACACTTCTGAAATATCTGCTTCTTCTAAGATGTCTCCATTTAGCAATACTCAAATTACCATACCTTTCCCCCATCACTTTCTTTGATAACCATGTAGGGCTCTGCACAGTCTCCAATCTCTCCCTGCTGTAGGACTTTTTCAATCTACCAATAAAAATAATATTAAAATAAGGCACACAAATTACAACCATATAAAGGGATCTATGCAACCATCAGAATTACTTTTGATGACATAGGAAGATATCTGTGACACACGTTTTTTGATTAAAAAGTTTACATAAAGAATACCATACAATTTTATTTAAAAAAATCACAAAGACATATTAAAAGGGTGATATTAGATACACAGCAAAGGCAGCAAGTGTTAATAGTAGTGATCTTTGCATGGTGGGATTATGTGTGATTTTTATTTTCTTCCCATTGCTTATGTGTATTTTCTGTTCTAAACAATAAACATGTATTATGTATATAATAAAAAAGGCAATAAAAGTTATTTTATAAAACAAAACCCAGGAGACATATGTAGGAAGTGGAAAGCTCATTTTCTTTATTATTGCTTAGAATGTAAAAAAGAGATATGGTCTCTGTGAAAGTCGGGTTGGGGACTAAAACCTTCCAAAAAATGAATGACTGAACTGAATAAATTATCTGTAATTGCTGCCCTTGTATTTCCTATTAGGGCTAATCCTCTGGATTTAACAGACTTGGAAAGAAACTCAAAAGCATTGAGATGTGCAGCTTCTTGGTTTGCTAACTCTGGTAATAGAAATGAATGCTAGTAATAAGAATAAAGGAAGTATCTTCTGTCTTGCTTCAGGTAAAGTGACTGGCTGGTCAGTTGTAATAAATTTGGGCACCATGTTTAGGAGAAAGAAAAGGAGAAATTTGAAATTTCCTAACCCGCTGCTCAAAGGAAATTTGACTTAAGATGTTGAAGAGTAAAACCAGTGGATTTAGTCCCATTAGTTGAGATCCTTGAAGAAGGGATTTGGGTCAACATAGTCCAAAAGGGACACATCCTTAATAGGTGCTGTGAGTTAGGTACAAAGTATTCAACCAACATTACCCCATGATGAAGGGGAATTTATGGGGTTTCAAAGGAAGTGGCATGGGGCTACTCAATAGATATGTTTCAGGGAGGACTCCAAGCAGAAAGTCTCTCTTCTTACAAAAGAAGTTCAAAACCCCCTCCCATTGCCAAATCATGAAGAGAAGGCAAATCCCACTGAGAGATGCACCACACTGAAAAAATAGGCACATAACACTTGAGCTAGAAACTGAGGGGTAATCAGCAATCTTTCACTCATTGTTGAGTATCTTCTATATGGTAGCAGCTGGGGAGATAAGGTGGCTATAAACACTGCCCCTATTCTCATGAAGCTCATAGTCAGGAGCCTACAGAACAAATTGGAAGCTAATTTTTCTATGATGTGAATGGATTAAAAATGTGGTCTTTAGGATACATTTTGAACAGAGGTCAAGAACTTCTTAGAAGCAGGGCAGGAAAATGCCACAGCTTCATGCACTAGTAGTATGTATCATGGAACACACAGGAAGCAGGAGAAGTTAGATTTGACCAGACCGGCAGATACTACTCCCCTAGCTGCAGTGGGCAAGGGGAACTCCAGGTAAGAGAAGGAGCTGCAGGCTGACATGAGAACCTACTGTTTGGTCCTTCCTGATGTATGCAAAAGTGTGTAATGAAATGCATATAACTCCTCATAACCATGGAAAGGAGGGCAAAGAAGCCTATCAGAATAACCAAAAACTTTTCTTCAGGGAAGAGGCTACTTTCTGCTGTATTCAGAAGGGGTAGGGTCAACACTTGGCATACCTATTTTTAAACAATTTTTGGAAAGTTTCCAATTCACTCCCACTTTCACTCTTCTTTCCTTGATTGTAAAACAAATTTTTTTAATTTCACAAAATCTTGAACTAAACCTTCAAGCTGAAATGATCCCTTAAAGCAATATTATATGCAACACCTGAACTAGGTGACGCTACCTAAAACACAGTAAAGATCCTGATGTTTGGCTTGGGAATATAAACAAAAAAGAAGCCCCTCTCATCAAATAATGTTTGCCTGGATGTGCTAAATAGTATAACACCATTTACTATGTAGTTAAAGAAAAAGAAGCAGGGCCGGGCGTGGTGGCTCACACCTGTAATCCCAGCACTTTGGGAGGCCGAGGCGGGTGGATCATGAGGTCAAGAGATAGAGACCATCCCGGTCAACATGGTAAAACCCTGTCTCTACTAAAAATACAAAAAATTAGCTGGACATGGTGGCGCACGCCTGTAATCCCAGCTACTGAGGAGGCTGAGGCAGGAGAATTGCCTGAGCCCAGGAGGCGGAGCTTGCCGTGAGCCGAGATTGTGCCATTGCACTCCAGCCTGGGTAACAAGAGCGAAACTCCGTCTCAAAAAAAAAAAAAGAAAAAAGAAAAGCAACAGAGATGGCATTGCGGTAAAGACAAACAAACAGAAAGCAAACCAGGGACCATCTTGCTGAGTAGACTTCAATTTCTTAAGTCTATCCGAACACTTTAGTATGTTTGTTACGTCAAATAAACACATGTATACATTTGAAAATTTTGGAACATATTTAGTAAGTGATAGTAACCAATGGGTAACCACTGTTATTTGGCAGAATATGATGGATTAATCAAGAGGAAGTCATCCACTGGGAAGTAGAGTTTGAGATGAAATTTGGCTCTATAGAACCAGTGTTGGCTTCTTCAGTTTCCTAGGCTGACAGAGAATTGTGAACTTACCTACAGGGCTACCATAGTGGGCTTAAGCTAACTTTCCTGTATGTCTAAATAACACTGCAACAAAAAGGAGACAGATTAAAGTTTGACAACAATAGGAGTGTCTTTTCAGCAATATAATTTTAACTATACATTTTATGAACTTAAATAAGTTCCCCTCAAGCTACGGTAACCTCACATAATCTTTGTTAAATGGTGTCAAAGAAGCTAGAATGAAAAGACATTTGCCATCTGTGAGGTGACCGCTAAGCTACCTGAATTATTTGGCATCCATATACTACTACCATGAGATCACGGGGAGGTCATTGAGACTGCAGACATAAAACACTATACCAACCAGACAGTGTTCCAGACCTAGGAGGCTGGGTGCCCGTGAAATCAGACACCTTGCGGTGTTTTGTTTTGTTTTACAATTTTGGCATAAAGAGTCAATAAGACGGCCAGGTGCAGTGGCTCACGCCTGTAATCCCACCACTTTGGGAGGCCAAGGAGGGCAAATCATCTGAGGTCAGGAGTTCAAGACCAGCCTGATCAACATGGTGAAACCCCATCTCTACTAAAAATACAAAAAGTAGCCTTGTGTGGGGTAGTGCATGCCTGTAGTCCCAGATACTTGGGAGCATGAGGCAGGAGAATCGTTTGAACCTGGGAGGTGGAGGTTGCGATGAGCCGAGATGGCGCCACTGTATCCAGCCTGGGTGGCGAAAGTAAAACGCCATCTCAAAAAAAAAAAAAAAAAAAAAAAGAGTCAACAAGACCAATTATCTGGCCTAAGGTAGGTAAAATACCTGATGTTTGTTAACTTCTAACCAGTCATTTTGGTGTACAGAGAAAGAGTCTGGTTTTCTTACAACAGCGAAGAGTATAGTCTAGAATAAAAGGCTTTTCTACTTATAATTGCCCCATAGATTTCAACTCTCATTAGAGACAGTCTGTGACATGGTTTAAAAAAAAAAAGGAGCGTGAAAATTTGAAAACCATAGCTCACACTTCAAATCGTAAGAGTCTAGACTTGGGAACACTTAACTATGCATGTCTAGAGCAACGTGAACATCGTTAGGAAACTCTCGCACAGAGATTTTGTTCCTTTCTCCACAGCAGCTTCTCTGTATCAGGTCACTGAGGGAACTCTCCTTAGGAGGAAGGGTGCCCAGGTGTGCCAAGCTTCATTCTGCAGTCATGACTATCCACTGACGTCAGTGTGATTACCTCCACTTCACAGATATGGGAACTCAATCTCAAAAAGACCGGGACATTGTCAATGCCATTTAGTTACTAGGCTGTAAAGGCAGGACTCAAACCTAGGTCTGTATGACTCCAAAACCTAGTCTTTCTAGTATCTGAAACAGTTTACTTAGAAGGGAAAAGGGGTAAGTTGAGAATGAAACAAAGCGAATCTCAGAGGATATGTGGACACGTTCTGAGGTTTCGTGCACCTCAAACATGAGCTGGGAATAATGCAGCAATGAAAACATCAGACTGGACAAATCAGATTGTGCTGAACTACCTTGACTACCAGGTAGATGTCTGAGGACGGGTAGGTGACCGAGAAAACTGCAGATCTTGCCTGACTTGATGCAGCCACCGAAGGTGTGTGAGCTCGCAGAAATCCTTTGAACTGGTCAGAGTTCAGGTCACAGTGAAAATTTTCTGAGATCTGTAAATGAGCAACAAAGTGAAATATAAGTTAGACCTATTGTATTCATGATTTAAACACATTAAAAAGGAGTAAAAACAGCACAGATAAATATGGCTGAAGGAATACGTGTAATAATCATAGACGTGGTTTAGGAAAGTGGTTACTAGATACATCTGATGAGTGTTTTGTCACAATGTCTAGGTATTTTGGAGTCATTTGAGAGATATTCCTAGAAACATTTAAATGTTTATCAAGCCACCAGTATTTCCTGAGTATCAGTGATGTGTTAGTTACTTCAATACAGAAGAGCAGGACCTCTGCCCTCAATTAGTTCACAATCAAGAACGAGGGAAGGACCGGGTGTGGTGTTTCACACCTGTAATCCCAGCACTTTGAGAGGCCAAGACGGGCACATCACTTGAGCTCATGAGTTTGAGGCCAGACTGGCCAACATGGTGAAATCCTGCCTCTATAAAAAATACAAAAACTAGCCAGCATGGTGACACATGCCTGTGGTCCCCGCTACTTGGGAGGCTGAAGTGGGAGGATTGCTTAAACCTGGGAGGTGGAGGTTGCAGTAAGCCAAGATGGCCCCAGTGCATGCCAGCTTGGGCAACAGAGTGAGACCCTGGCTCAAAAAAATAAATAAATAAAAGTGATGGAAAAGGCAAACATGCAACTAACTATAGTAAAAGCAAAATACAAGTCACCACATGGATACAAAGAAGCACTGTGGCAGTTCCAGAGAGTGACAGGCCTTTTGCAGTTACCCAACTGCAAAATGTGACAAGGACAACTTTTCATGGAAGCAGTACTGGAGATGGATGGGCCTTAGAAGATTCTGATAGGCAGGGGTGGAGGGTGACGATGTACTATGGAGAGAGTACAGCACAGAGGCTTGAACGCTTGGGGGAAGCTTAGTTAACAGGCAGTGGTCCAGCTTGACTCTGCATAGACTATGGATGGAAAGAAAGTAGAGGAATGCCATCATGAAGAAAGCCCAGCATGAAAGCTAGAGTTTGCTCTTAATATTGTAGGCAGTGAATCTTAGTGAAGATTCTGAGAAAGCACATAATGTGAGCAGTGCTCCTGGCTCTCTTAGTGTAGTATTACTTAAGAGCCATGTATGTTTGGCTTCTCCCCTTCATCACCAAGAGAATTTTAGTGGGAAGTGGTTGTCCAGGCAGAGACTACATTTACCAGCCTCCTTTGCTATGAGGGGTGATCATGTGACTGAATTCTCTCCAATGAATTGTGAGCAGAAGCAATGTGTTGAACTTCCAGGCCTCCTCCATCCTTCTTTTCTCTTCTTCAGGGGTAGCAATGGCAGTGACAAGAGTGATTTGGGAGAGCACATATTGAAGATGGAGGAGCCATTGCCAACCTGTGTTTCTGAATGACTCGGTGGAACAGAGGGGCCCCTCCTCCCGCCCTGGATGGTTAAAGAAACAAAGACACCAAATTCTTGTTTATAAGCCAGTGGTTTTCAAAATGTGGTCCCCTGAACAGCAGCTTCAGCATCACCAGGGGACTGTTAGAAATGCAAATTCTCAGGTCCCACCTGGACATACTGCATCAGAAACTCTGTGGGTGGGCCCCAGCAAAGTATGTTTTAACAAGTCCTTCAGGGGATTCTGATGTATGCTCAAGTTTGAGAACTACTGCTTTAAACCGCTGAATTTGGGATGCTGCTTGTTTCAGCAGTTAACCTATCCTAACTACACAAATCTCAGTGATCATTAATATTTATGCAGAAGATACATGTTTCCTTAAATACAGAATGACTTAAGAAGGGCAGAAGTGTCCATCTTCTATTTTGGGATTTGCTATTGCTATCTTCTTCTGGGAGTCACAAAATGACTAAACATTAAACATGCACAGAGAAGTCTTGGTCACTGTTTTCATTAAAAACACATTACAGTTGGTGAGGTCTTTGCTCTGTGACAAATTGAGACCTTTACCATGTCAGATGCCCTTCAGTCATAATAAGCCTATTTCACATTAGAACTCTCAAACTGAGGGAGCTTTACATTCACATCCCAGCTTGTTAAAAATGTATTTAAATGGGTTTGTTTTCTATATAACCCCATGTGCTGACTATTTCATTCTTTCTCTATTCCAGCCAGGCCAGCACCTCCAGGAGCCTTTCCCTAAAAAATCCTTCAAAGATCATAAATTACGTTCTCAGACCACTGCTTGAAAAATCGCAAAGGCAACAGAACTGGACCCATTAAAGATCATTTGCTTTCAAATCTGATAGGTTTTTGCTGCAAAGAAGATTTAGAAACATACATCCAAAGAATCATGAACAACATATGTGCCTTGTGGATGGATTTTTATTTTCTTTCTTACCTTTTTCCTTTCTTTAACATCGTAGAGGGCAATGCTGGCAAACAGAGGCTCAATTTCGATCTCGAACCTATCACAGAAAGAGAGGAAAATCTAAGTGGCTTTAACTTAGATAATTTTGAATTTTCTGAAAATGCCTGGATAGATAAACTGGTTAAAAATGTGAGCAGTTTCCAGAAATATTTGGAAAACTCCAAGTATATGAGAATCACACTGGCATATTAATGGAGAAATATGGGAGGTTTGTGAAATATTTCTAATCATGTGAGATCATAGTGGACATTACAAAGGCATGCTGGATATTTTTGGGATGTCTCCCAAAAATTGCTTATTGGTAGCACTGCAAGAGAAAGTGGGCTGAATGGATCTTCAGTCTGATCCATCTTCTTATCATTGTAATGACTGTGTTTTCTGAGGGTAGACTTTCTGTCTGAGGTAATGGACTTGTTCATATCTTACATTGTATTGTTAGGATAGTATCTGTTTTCACAATGCAAAGATATGGAACCAACCTAATTGCCCATCAACCACTGAGTGAATAAAGAAAATGTGGTATATATACACTAAGGAATACTACTTAGCCATAAAAAGGAATGAAATAATGTCTTTTTCAGGAACTTAGGTGGAGCTGGGTGGAACTCTGTTGGCTTCTGCATACTCATAGCTTAGTTCCCACTAACTGCAGCATTTGGTTTTCCTGAGTTACTTCACTTAGGAACTGTCTAAGTGTATGTAGCACATTATGCTTTGGCCTCATATTTGCATCTCTTCGTGGACACTTCAGTAACTTCCACCTTTTGGCTATTGTGAAAAGTGCTGCTTTTTTTTTTTTTTTGAGATGGAGTCTTGCTCTTGTTGCCCAGGCTGGAGTGCAGTGGCGTGATCTCGGCTCACTGCAACCTCTGCCTCCCATGTTCAAGCAATTCTCCTGCCTCAGCCTCCTGTGTAGTTACTTAGGATGTAACTCAGGAATGGAAAACCAAGTGCCATATGTTAGTGGGAACTAAGCTATGAATATGCAAAGGCAAACAGAGTAGTATAATGGACCTTGGAGACTCAGAATGGGGAGAATAGAGGGTGACGAGGGATAAATAATGACATATTGGGTACAATGTACACTACTTGGTTGATGGGTGCACTAAAATCTCAAACTTCACCACTATACATTCATCCATGTAACCAAAAACCACTTGTACCCTAAAGCCATTGAAACAACAACAAAAAAATGTTAAAGAATAAGCTCTATATTATTCAATTCTAAGGAATGGGACTTTGCAGATGGCAATAAAAGAAAGTTCGATTGCTTTTCCTTAGACTGATAGTGTGACAGTCAGAAGAATACTAGGTTTCGATGGGGATGAATGTCTGGCCCTTCCTAACTCCATTACTGGGGAGTTGCTGAGTTTAGGTCAGGGAGTGGATTGAGCACAGCAGATAAACACCGAGGTGCCTGGGCCCCGTGAGAGCTAGAAAGAGGAGCCCTCATATTGACCCTAATTGCCAATTCCCCTTGAAATGGTGAATCCCAAAGCATAATCCTGCTGCATTATCCACCTTTACTATCCTGGTGGACATTATAGGTGCACACCGAACACTGATGAATGTCTTCCAAGTTTCTCAGCTTGATGTCCCAGGGCCTTGGATGTTACCTGCTGAGAGCACCAGGAAAAGGGTCCCAGCCCACCATCAATCAGACATCCTGTCAGTAAAGCTATGTTGTGTCTCCAGCTATGTGCAAGAGGATGTCCTTATCAGTGGATAGCTTTGTTTCAAAAGAGGACTTTTCAGAAGAATGTTGGGACAGAGTATGAACACTGACAAAAGGGTTATTTGCTAAAATGGCACCTTTGGAAATGAGGCAATATGCTTAGAATGGCCAACCTATATTTAATCGTGTCCTCCCTACTACACAAAGGGCCTAAATATTGCTGGGATATACTTAGGTAGGTACTGAGTGGTAAGTCCTCTGTGGTTCAGAGAAAGGAAAAGAGAATTGACATTTATTACAGACTTAAAATTGTGCTGTACTAAGTGCTTTCCACACATCAGCCTCTTTACACAACTATACTGTAATGCAGATATTATCTGCATTTAACACACTAGGACACCAATGTTCCCAGGAATTAAGGAACTTGCCAAAGTCCACAAAGTTAGGAACAGGCACAGTCAGGCTTTGAGCCCAGCTATCTCTGATCACAGAACCTGGGCTTTTTCAATGAGTATTTGTTCTTCAAGTGTAGTTCCCCAAAACTAGCATTCTGAAGCAAAAGAAGTTTGCCAGCCTACAGGTTTCCTGATCCACCTGAGACCTACTCAACCAGAATCTCTTGAGGGAGATTGTTACGGGAGTTCCTCCAAAATCCGCATTTAAAATAAATGCCCTGGGTAAACTTTCTGTACACTAAAGTTTCACCATCAAGAAGACTCCTAAAAGCTGAGGTTACTTTTTATAAGATGGTATTAAATCTTAAAAATCTTTCTCCACTTAAAATACAAAACAGAAAAATATTATGTTATCATTCTCTTTATTTCCTGTTACAAACACAGAATTGGCAGGAGCCTAATTTTCTGTGTCTTTGAGGGTTTATATATTTCTGAAAAGCAATACAGAGACAGTTACAGATGTCCACGGCTTTAAACAAATCCCTCAGCTGCTAAAATCTGTAGTTTTTTATTTTTTTATTTTTTTTTTAAAGATAGGATTTCACCATGTTGGTCAGGTTGGTCTTGAACTCCCGACCTCAGGTGATCTGCCCACCTTGGCCTCCAAAGTGCTTGGATTACAGGCGTGAGCCACCACGCCTGGCCAAATCTGTAGTTTTATAAATAGAATCCTGCATATCAATGTCAATGGGAAAACATCTGCCGTTAATGTTATCCTTATATTTTTAGTATTCATACTGTCACATTCTAGGCTTACCTATAAGAATTTGTTTCTTTTCTTTTGTCTAATTTACTGTAAGTAGTTATTCCTGAGGCTATCTCTTTGGTCCATCTTTTCTCTTGCAGGTATAGGTTAGCATGGAGACTATTTAAAACACTTGAGCTGGCCAAGTGCACCTGGTGAATATGTCAATTCAACTTCATGCTTTGGCAGTTGAGGGGAATATCACTAGAAACTGCACTTGACAATTTTTATTAAGAGATATTCAAGTAACTCCCCTTTTTGCAATTTTAGAGACAGGGTCTCACTCTGTCACTCAGGCTGGAGTACAGTGACATGATAGTAGCTCACTGCAGTCTTGAACGCCTGACCTCAAGCGATCCTCCCACCTCAGCCTCCCATTGTAGCTAGGACTAAAGGTGCATCACCACATCTATTAATTTTTGTAGACAGGGTTCTGGCTATATTGCCCAGGCTGGTCTCAAACTCCTGGCCTCAAGTGATCCTCCCACTTTGGCCTCCCAAAGTGTCGGGATTACAGGTGTGAGTCACTGCACTTGGCCTCCATCAACTTAAAAAAAAAAAAATAACACATATCTTCTTAGTGGCCATGTTTTCCCACCTGTGAGAACAGCTGCCTCTATTCATTGGAGAGGTCTAGAAAGCTTGGCGATGAGTACCATAGGGGAGAATTTCTGTCATATCAAATGACATAGTCACTGCATCTAAAAGTAGCCTGACGATGCATCCTGTGGGGAGCTGGTGGGTGCCTCAGACAATAGAGAAGGCTTCCTAAACAATGCAGAGGGGAACAGCCACTTCCACCCGGTCCTCCTGCCGACCAGACAGGCGAGGAAGCTCCCACTTCCAGGTTGGTTTGCAAGGGCTAGAGCTAGCTTTTCTGTGCATTACTTGATACTCAGCTGGTTTATGGGCTGCTCATTTCTCCATACAAAAGGCCCTGAAGCCCTTCTGGTAGAAGTGGCCAGGGGGAGGAGACTATAACATCAAGAGACCACCCATCACTGTGCAGGCAGACTTGCCGGCTTGTATTCTGAGGCAGAAGAACTTGGCAGAGACTGTGTGTTAGAATCACAGAAGTCTGTGGTAGGTAGGAACTTGGAGACCATAAGGTCTATCAACTTCATTTATAGGTAAGAACTCAAAATCCCAGGGAAGTTCCCAGGGTTGAAACCCAGCCTTACATCCAGAATCCACATGCCTTCTCACTGCAAACCAGGGGCTGCTGAAGGGACCCTTGAATTGACTTGGAGAGATGGGTGACCCTTCTAATACTATGTAAAGAAATGTTACACTTCTGTAGTTTTGCTTAGGTAGACTATGTACAACTTAAAGTTTTCACCTGTGGATTTGAAGAGGAAGAACTAATTCTTGAAAGTGGCAGTCTGCAGAGAGGAAGAGAGACATGGAAGCACTCTGGGAGGACACAAGACAATCTATTGCAGTGCAATAGAAAATACTAGAATTTATTTAGATTTATCTAGTTCATCCTTTAAAATTTCTCAATTATATATTTTATAATGCAGATATTTTAATGTGAAAGTACAAAATTAATATATGTACATAAAGGACTTTTTTTTTTTTTACTGTCAAAGTATACAATCAAAACATATGGACGCAACTGCTTTAAAGTAGATGTGGCAAATAATTGGCCCACAACCTGAAACCAGATTGTAGCTGTGTTTTGTTTTAATTGTATGATGTTTATAAAGGGAATGAGAAAATACTTAGGGAGTTCGGATATTATGCAGAAAAATCTGGGTTTCCAGCTTCTCTTGAAAAAAATAAACAGTTTACAAAAATGGGCCTGTTTATTCAGATGGCAAGAATGCTGTTGTTAGTAGTGAGTGCCCCCTTAACATGGTTTACTGCAGTCCCCACCACTCCCTACTGTCCCCTGGCACTAAGACTGAGTTCTAGTTGCATTTATCGTGGTGTTTCAACAGTGGCATACTGGTAAATGTTTAATAAATAATCTCTCAGTGCTGACGGTGGTGCACTTTTGTAGCATTGGCTGATTCTACATTGTAAATACTTTTACCATGGCCAATTTAAAGTTACCAATGTGACTTCACTGAACACAGGGTTAGGAAAAGATGTACACTGTCAGCTGTCATGAGTTAGTCGAGTTGATTCCAGCACACCACTGATGTGTTATTTTTCTTAACATAGGTCATTTCACTCAATTACCTTACATGTCTAACTTTATTAGACACTTGTGTTTGCTTTCTGTATTACAGAAGAATAACTGTCAAAAGGATGGTAGGAAAAAAAAAATCCAGGAATAGACTCAAATGGTGCCCTTTCTACTACTCCACAGCTGCCCAGTGTTAAAAGTATTTTGGGAGCTCCTCTCTGATTCAAGCTCTGATGATAAAGACAACATTTGCATCTAAAAGGCAAGATCAGTCTCAAAGTAGTGGTAGTGTGTTGGTTGATACTCACTTTAAGGTCAGCAACTTGACCAATATTCTGTTGCCCAGATGTTCCTTGGGACATTCTGGTACCGGACGTATCTCCACAGCATCCTCCTATTATTAATCACATCATAAGAAAATCATTAGTAAATTCTGTGAGGAGTTCCAGTTAGAGTTAACCCAGGGGAGGGAAGGCTGCCTTCCATGGCTCAACTTCACTCATATTTGCTTTATTTCTAACACTCTGCCTCTTATAAGAAAGTTTGTCTTCCAACCCCCAACCTTCAAAGCCAGGATTTACAGCAAACATTTTCTCCTTTTAGAAACCAAGCATTTAAGACAAAGAGACTGAAGGAGGAAGGAAGGAAATGTGAACATGGATATGGCTTAGTAACATCCACCAGATGGCATTGCAAAATCTTATACCTATTGTTGATGTTTTTGTGTGTTTTTTGCCCACTCTAATTACACATTCAGAATATTTCTCCTGTCAAGGGCTTTACTAGCAAGTATGTGACTTTCAGATTTGAAAGCTGAGTCAGAATGGTTCACTTAAGGCTGTAAACCATCTATCCTATAACACAGAGTTATTTTCTCAGTTCACTGTTTTCTTAAACAGGTGATAGAGATTGGGGTTGAACTGACAAGTTCTAGATAGGCTTATGCCGTTAGAACTTGCTGAAGTGCTAGGTATTGAAATTTAGTAATGACAAATCAAGAGCTCTACTTGTTTATTTTACCTCACAGAACCCAAAGACTTAAAGAGAATGTCAAGTCCCTATTGTTAACTTTAACATCTGCATCTGAACTATCATTCTATCTTAATTATATTCATGTATGCAAAAATAAGCAGTGCAAATCCTTGAAAACAGTAATTCTCACTCTTGTAGTATGCTTTCCAAACACTGGTGAGCGCTCTGCTGATCGCAAGGGTCCAAAGAACAGGGTCATGTCTCACGGTCTTTTCCTGGGAGATTTCCACTGAATACCCCCTGGCAAGCCTAACATTCTTCCAAACAGCAGCAAAGTCACCTTCCTGGTAAGTATGTACCCACTTTGGTGGAATGATCCACGTGGTAAGCTCATCATTACTCCAGCCTCTCCCTGTGGCCCCCATTCCTTGTGGTTACAGTTGGCCATGCTGCTGGGTGGAATGGCTGAGTTTATTTCAGAGGAGACACTGTTCTGGTGCCTGCCCCAAGCTAGACTCCCTCGGAGTGGTTTGGAACTTTTAGGATGATTGGAACAGACATATCTAAAGGGAGGATCTCCCTAACTGGAAAACAACCTGAAGGTAGAGACACTCATGGATTTCTAGGACTGCCTTTGGTCTAGATTCTAATTCTTGAAATCCTTTTAAAAAAGATTTTCATTTGGAAAATTTTAAACAGATGCAAAAGTAGAGAGAGTAATGCAACGAACCACTATTCACCCATCATCACCTGACTTCAACAAGTTCAACTCATGGGCGTTCTGGTTTCATCTATTCAACCACTTACTACCTTTGTCTCTCAATACTGGGTTATTCAGAAGCAACTTCCCAGAGACGATATAAATATATTAATATTTCAGTACATATCTTTAAAAGATAAAGACTTAAAAAAACATATAGCAATACCATTATTATGCCTAAAAATTAATAACAATTTCTTATTGGCGCTAAATAATTTTTGTCAGTTTCAAATTTCCCTGACTGTCTCAATTTGTTTTTACTGTTATTTTGTTAAATCAAGATCTAAGCAAAGCCCACATACGGCATTTGGATGATGTATTTCCTACGTCTCTTTTAATCTATATAAATTTCTCCAGTCTTTACAGCCAACTGAAATGGGAACTAATTCCCAAGAAGGCGCAAAGTGGAAATGTGAAACGTTAGTGGATACCTCTTGTTTTAATCATCCTAAAGACACACACAAATGAAGGGAATGAAACATATAATGAGAGAGAAAGAGACAGTACGAGAGAGATGATATTCTTTCAGTTACTGTCCCAGCAGATCTGGAGGTCAGCTCCACATTTGCCTACCTGTGATTTCCTTAGATGAGCAGAAGTACTCACCCCACCCTTTTTTCTGAGTTGGTTTTAGTTGGGTTCTGTCACTTGTAACCAAGAGCCTCAGCAAACTTTTCCATGATTTAAAGTATTAGTGGAATCTTTCTCAGTGATTGACATAGAATGCCTTTTGTAGAATCAGAATGAATTAGGGAAACAACTTGCCTTATAAAACCTTGGTGGTTAAGTCCAACTTTTGCTTCTCCTGTAGACTCAGCCATAACCTGGATATACTAGTTTACCTCTCTTCTAACTTTCCTTACAGGGAAATCAAGTAAGGATAATATTTAAAAATCTGATTGTATCATTTAAAAAACCAGTATTTGTAATCATTTCAGAGTAGGTAGAAATTTACCTTTCTTCCACAGAACTTTCTTAGGAGAAAGTACAAATTATAAGTACAAGCTTCAAAATATTAAAGGGCTGGTATAGAGGCTCTCAAGCATTTTAGACATGCCAATTTAAAAAAAACTAGTACACTCAATTACAAAGCACTTCTCTCTACTCAATAAAAGTGGGCCCCATTAGGCCTGCTGCTAGATTATAACTTTCAGTCCCAACAGAGTGTCTGCAGGGTTTCAAAGATCATAAAACAAAGTTCCTCTAACACCAGGCTATGTTTCATTCTTTCAATCAATTTAGATGGGACATTCTCCCATCTAGTACCACCAGGGAGACACTGACAAGCAAATGTCTCACTGGACATATTCTCTGCATCCTTTAATTGTTTTCTCTCTTCTGGCATCCACTTTGGGTCCCTGTATTACATGTTGGCATCTCCAACGAAGAACTGAGAGGAAGAGGGGGGAAAGTAAAGGCCAAATGAGTCTGATTTAATATATCTTGACAGATCTGGAGAAAAGTCTTAATGTTGTGGATGGAAACTGAAAAGTTACATGATATTTAAAAATATCATCTTTGGATTTCAGTTATGTGTGCTAACATACCAGGTAGTCATAGGTATGTAGATACATAAACAAGCAAACATGAATTCTGGAGCTAATGGGTCAGGGCCCCATTTTATAATTTAATTTATCTGTTGAGTCTTGAAAAAGCTCTTTAACCTAATTCTTGCTTTCTAATAATAGAGGTGATGATATTGCTCACATTATTCATACTTTATTAATTTAGTTTTTAATTGACAAATAGTAATTGTGTACATTTATGGGGTACAGTGTAATGTTTTGATCAGTGTATACATTGTACAAAGTTTAAATAAAGTAATGTTTTGATCTATATATACATTGTAAAAAGATTAAATCAAGCTAATTAATATATCTATCACCTCACCAACTTATCTTTTGTGTGTGTGTGGTAAGAACATTAAAAATCTTTTTGGAAAGCAGTTTTGAAATATAAACACATTATTATTAACTCTGGTCACTATACAGTGCAATAGGTCATTAAAACATATTCCTCCAGTCTCAGACTTTGTAGACTTTGATCAACATCTTCTCCCTCTCTCTGCTGCCCCTGGTAACCACTTTTCTACTGTTTCTATGAAATCTACTTTTTTAGATTCCATATATAAGTGAGATGATTTATTTTTATAATGTGCCTCATTCAGAAGAGCATTTGAAGCTGCTGATGAAAACTGTAAATCAAATAAAAATAGATGAGGAAACCACGGTGCTTGGGATAAGGAAAGAAAGCTGGAATATATAAATTCAGGACACCAATCAGTAAGCTGCCCCATGTGGTGAAGGTGGACAGAAATTTGCTCTGAGTAAAGAATTTAAGATAGTTAGTTATAAAATGAGCACAATCTCTAAGTGCTCTTATTATCTCAGCAGAAGTACCCTTCTTCTTTGTCTGAAGACTTAAATTGCCCTTTAGATCCTCAAAGAGGAAGGTGCTAGGTGGTGAGTAGGTCAATGTCAACAACACTATTTCCATGTGGACGTGATATGCTATCTCATGACTGCTGTTTCCTTTATTGTCCTCCTTGCTGACAGTGGTGAGTTCACTGAAGGGCACGTTAGCTAACACAGTCCGGAAGGGCAGGGGTATCAGGCTCTCTGATGGTCTTGCTTATTCCAAGGATCGAATTTCAATTATTTAGAGGCATGGATGGATAGAATATCTTTTATGCAAAGTTTCCCCAAATCTTGTTTCTTGCAACTGAACCTTTTATAAAATTTGGACAGCACAGATATAGTGGTAATCTGTTCTGGCAAGACCCAGAAGTGTAGATAACCTCACATGCAGAGGGGAAAACTGAGTGCCTCCCATAAAGTATGAGGAGTTCAAACGGACACAGACTTAAACAAGGGTCATTTCTCATTTCATCCAAAGTGCCCCAGGCAGTGATCACAGGCATAGTCTACATTATCCTATTGTTGTGGGTCAGTGCCAACGAAGAAGTAAACAATCAAGATCCCGAAGTCCCACATTTTGGGAGCATGGGCTGCGATCATCTTAGCCTGAAATGTCTTCAAAGCAGGTCTCTCTGGTTGCTCATAGAGACCATTAAAAGGAAGTAACAAAGCATTCAACAACATCAAAGTTTAAGTAATATATGTCTCAATGGATTTGTTGCCACCCATACCCTCAAATAATAGAATGGTTTGACTTGCTAGGTGTGATTACTACATGCAGACCCTTGAAACATCTGGGGATTCAATGAGGTGCTCTCAGTGAATATATTGTGTAAAGTGCTATGACAATTCTAGTAGTTATTATTATCAGAATCCCATCTGTACGATAATCAATATTGGTTCTGCTATGGCACCTGGGCTTACCTGAGTGAAAAACACGGCCCCAGAAATCATACACGTGAGCCCTGATATCATGGGCTGCTATACAGTAATAATGAACACCACAATCATCCACGTGACTCTGAGACTTCACTGAGATTCTCCAGGATGCAGACAGTGGTACCCACCTCATCCACTGATGGGTAAAGGGCAAAGAGCTCGGCCTGCCGATTGGTCCTCCGGGCCTCCTCGTTCTGCTTCTCAAAGTCCTCGGCACTTACTTGCTGCAGGAGGTTTTCTAGCCGCTGGTCAGGCTGCAGGCTGCGGAGGTCAAAGTCACAGGCAGTGAGGGGGCCTTTCCCAGACACATCGCACAGCACGTTTAAGTGGCGGGGGCCCGTCTGTGAGAGAAAACAGTGGGTCTTTGTGAGAGAGACAGCAAGTCTAAAATGAGAACTAAAGAATCTGGGATGTCTCAAGACTGCTCCAATTTGGGACTACAGAATCTCAGGCAATCCTCAAGTTTTCTGAAGAAACTGGGGGTTTTACAAGAATGGCATCTTAGCTTCCTGGCTGGACTATTCTAAAATTAAATGTCTTCTTCTCACTTGGAAACAGGTAGTTACTCATCATATGCAGACAAACCAGTCCTGAGGAAAGGACTAAAAACAGCACTATGTTCCTTTCAGTGGTCAGCTTGCTCTATCCTAGGGCTGAGGGCAAAGCCTCTTAATGAACCATGCTCATGTCTCACACTAGAGCAAAACAGAGCTGGAAAAAGGCGCAATAAAAAGGAGACTGGGCCAGGAGCAGTGGCTTATACGTGTAATCCTAGTACTTTGGGTGGACAAGGTGGGAGGACTACTTGAGGTCAGGAGTTCAAGACTAGCCTGGGCAACATAACGAGACTCTCACGAAGAGAAAAAAAGCAAAACTTAGCCAGGTATGGTGACATGCACCCATAGTCTTAGCTACTTGGAAGGCTTAGGTAGGAAGACTGCTTGAGCCCAGTCTAGCACGTCAAAGGTGCAGTGAGGTATGATTACTTTTTTTTTTTTTTTGGCAGTCTTGCTGCAACACCCAGGATTGGGTACAGTGGCGCCATCTCAGCTCACTACAACCTCCGGCTCTGGGGTTCAAGCGATTCTCCTGCCTCAGCCTCCCAAGTAGCTGGGACTACAGGGGCCTGCCACCGCATCTGGATAATTTTTGTATTTTTAGTAGAGATGGGGTTTCACCATATTGGCCAGGTTGGTCTCAAACTCCTGACCTCAGGTGATCTGCCTGCCTCAGCCTCCCAAAGTGCTAGGATTACAGGCATGAGCCATTGTGCCCAGCCACATTTAAGCCTTTAATCCATTTTGGTTGCTACATAATAAGATCACAAGTGACAGCCTATCACTCTTTGCCATATTGTTTTGATAGAAGCAAGTCCCAGGTCCCACTCAGTCAGGGATGAACATCACAAAAGTGTGAATGTCACAGGTCCAGATGATGGGGCAACCACAGAATCTGTCTGCCACACTAACTTTCTGATAATTTAAAGTGCACATCTAGCTTCTGTAATAATGCACTATTTTTAAAATGTTGGGCTCATGCCCGAAATCCAGCACTTTGGGAGGCTGAGGTGGGTGGATCACCTGAGGTCAGGGGTTCGAGGCCAGCCTTGCCAACATGGTGAAAACCCATCTCTACTGAAAATACAAAAATAATTAGCCAGGCATGATGGTGGCTGATTCCTGTAATCCCAGCTACTTGGGAAGCTGAGGCAGGAGAATTGCTTGAACCCAGGAGGTGGAGGTTGCAGTGACCCAAGGTCATGCCACTACACTCCAGCCTGGGCAACAAGAGTGAAACTCTACCTCAAAAAAAGAAAAAATTAATAGATACATAATGGTTGTACCTATTATGGGGTGTAATATTTTGATACCTGTGTACAACGTGCAATTATCAAATCAGGGTAATTAGCATATCCATACCTCGAACAATGATCATTTCTTTGTGTTAGGATCATTCAAAATCCTTTCTTCTAGTTATTTGGAAATACAGAATAAATTATTATTAACTCTAGTCACTTTACAGTACTATAGAACACTAGAACTTATTCCTCCTATCTAGCTATAATTTTGTAACCATTAACCAACATTTCTATTCTCTTCTCCATCCGCCCTTCTCAGCCTCTAGTTACCACTATTCTACCCTCTACTTCTATGAGATCAACTTATTTATCTTCCACATATAAGTGAGATCTTACAGTATTTGTCTTACTGTGCTTGGCTTATTTCACTTAACATTGTCCAGGCTCATCCATGCTGATGCAAAGGACAGGATTTCATTTTTTATGGCTGAATAGTATTTTATTGTGTGTGTATATATGTATATCACATTTTCTTTCTCCAGTCTTCTGTTGATGGATACTTAGGTTGAGTCCATGTCTTGGCTACTGTGAATAGTGCTGCAATAAACATAGGGGTGCAGATGTCTCTTTGATACCGTAATATCCTTTCCTCTGGATCGTATGGTCAACTTGGCTCTTAAATACGGATAATGACTTGAGTGCTCTGTTAGCATGCTGTAGGAAAGCGTGTGCTTTGTGCGTATGCTGGTCTTCAACTATTGTCTCTGGGCTCCAAATTCACCCTTTTATGTTTTGTTCTTTGATACTGGGTCAGCAAATTATATTTCCGGTTTTTTGTCCCTTTAGGTTCTGTCAATGGGGGCGCTACAGGGTTACCGGATGGCTTGAGGAGGGCAAAGGTCCTGGCTCCTTCCTGTTACTGGTCCTCTCACCTTCTTAGTGACAGTTGGTTCTAGCCTTCAGGTTCTTTTGGCACTTCCAGAATCACCCTTATCTTACTTACTTCCTTGAAGGTACCAACACCAGCTGGGCAATTCCTCCTCCTGTGAGGAACAAGTCCAGATTCCACGAGGTCTTTCCCTCTGAGATCCTGAGATAACACCACTGCCTGGGTGGCGCCTTCTTCTCAGGGATGTCAGTCCTGGCTCCCAGACCCTTCTTCTGAGTTTCTACATTCTGACAACTCCAAATTCTTCCCCTAAACACGTGGTCCTCAAATTGTGGTCCTGGGACCAGCAGCATCAGCATCACTTAGGAAATGCTGATTAGAAGGTATCAGGTTTACCCTCCAGACCTACTGAATCAGAAATTCCAGCAGACAGGGCCAAGCAACCCATGTTTGAACAAACCCTCCGGGGGATTCTGATGACACTAAAGTGGAGACCCACTGCTGTACACCCCAGCCCCAGAGTGGCGTGCTGTTTTCTATAATGATGATTTTAGTATAGCCTCAATTTTTCCCTTTTGGTTCTCTTAGACCTCTAAAATCTGCTTAATCAATTCCCTGTGTTAAATTTCTTCTGTTGAAATACCTACTGTAGCTTCTGTCTAATAAGAGAAACAATTTAGTTGGTCATCACGTAGGGTGAAGATGGAATTTAGTCAAAATTACTGATTAAAAAAAATCCCTTAAATCTCCCATAGAGCAGAGCATCCAGGTATTCTATCCCTTAGTAAGTTTGTCATATTTAGTGCTGGAAATGATGGCTGATTCCACTGTGGAGCTCCAAGTAAGTAGTTGGCTTGGCTTTAGGGGGGACCACCTTGTCTGAAAAATAAGTATGATTTTAAAACCTCTAGTCATTTCCAGCATGGTGAGATTCCTGTACTATGGTACTATGAAGACACGTGGAAGCTGAAAACTGTATTAGTTTACATGAAGTTCTGTGCAAACTTGAACACAACAGTTTTTCTTCTCAATTTTATTTTTCTCACCGATAAAATGGGCAGGTTGGACAGTCAGTAGTGCTAAACATATTGACTTTGCAGTACAGCCATCACCAGCATCCATCTCCATAATGTTCATCTTGGAAAGCTGAAACTCTCCCCACTAAACAACAACTTCCCATTCCTCTCTCCCCCAGCCCCTGGCAACCACATTTTCTTTATCTATTCATTACGGATGGGCACTTGGGTTGCTTCTACCTTTTGGCTACTAGGAATAATGTTTCTGTGAATGCATGTGTATAGAGCTTAACTACTGGAAACTTGAAATTTATTTGGCTATTGTTCTTTGGCTGTCTTATGCAAAGGAAGAATTTCATTCTTTCTGTCTTCTATTTGTTAGAGTGTTTGCTGGGGTTCTTCACATGACCCCACACATTTAAAAAATTAGTTACAGAATAGTGTTAAAAGTTCATTTCACGGTCAGGCGTGGTGGCTCACACCTGTAATCCTAGCACTTTGGTAGGCTGAGACAGGCAGACCACGAGGTCAGGAAATTGAGACCATCCTGGCTAACATGGTGAAACCCCTTCTCTACTAAAAATGCAAAAAATTAGCCAGGCGTGGTGGCACATGCCTGTAGTCCCAGCTACTTGGGAAGCTGAAGCAGGAGAATCACTTGAACCTGGGAGGCAGTGGTTGCAGTGAGCTGAGATGGTACCACTCCAGCCTGGTGACAGAGAAAGACTCTGTCTCAAAAAAAAAAAAAAAAAAAAAAAAAGGTTGTTTCACAACATGAATTTTAAACTGTAATCGCTTTATAAGAACAATGACAACAGTAACAGTGCCAGCATTTACTAGGCACTAAGTATATGTAGTGGGCATTATTCTAATTCTTTATGCATATTAATTAATTTAATACTCAAATAACCTCATGAGTTAGTATTATCATCCTTGTTTCCCAGGGCAGGAAAATGTGCCCAATAAGCTTAATGGTCCTGCCTGAAGTTAGAGTTAGTACATGGTAGAATCATAAGGAGAATGCAGGGGATCTGGCCACAGTGTGGAGCTTTTAATTACTCTGTAGTTTGCTTTAGGGGCACCACAGTCTCTGCAGAAATTGTTCTAGGGGTGGGCCCAATGTATCTCTGTCCCCTAGTTGAAGCTTTTCCACTTTTTTCTGTTTTAATCATTGGGTTTCGGGGTTTTCATTTGAACACCAATTTCTGTGGCAACAAACAAGTTTGGAAAAAAAAAATCACCGACTTAGATGGTAAAGTTCCTCCTACTCAAACTTTCTGTGAGTCCACCCTTTATTCTAGTTTGTAAAATTGACAGCATGCCCTGGGCCAAGCAGTCCAGTAACCTGGTAACCATGTTTGTTGATAGGAAATACCTGAGCATCGGGTTCACTGCACTCCAAGCTTTCCGACTCAAACGTCTGCTTCGGAAGCGTCTTGTGAAAATCTTTTCGAGATCCAGTCTTTTTAAAGCCACAAATTTCTGGACTTCCTTGATTTCTTTTATGGTTGGTATTTAATTTGGAGAAAGAAAGGGGGAGAAAGAGAGGCAAACCATTAGATTAAAAATAAAAATAATGGCTTAAATTGTAGACATGGTGCTGAGAGAGCTTTCAAAGAGGGAACCCATTGTAATTGCTCACTTTAATTATGCACCAGGCCTAATACAAGGCTCTGTTGTAATGAGATACAAACTCACCCCCTGGCTGGCTCATTATTAAAGGGAGGCATGGCCTGGGAAAATGCCACTTCAGAGGTGCGGTCATTTCAGCTGTGGGGCATTTGGCTCCAAGCTGAAGCTAAACCATGACTCTAGTGTTAAGTGGCTGGAATAAATCTAGCAACGTGCAGAAGCAGCAAACAGAAATCGTTTGAAGATAAAAATAGAGAAAACCATTTAATCTTCACATCAATGTTCTTAATAATGAATAAAGCAGGCGGGACATGGTTAAGAAAAAATAAAAATAAATGATTTATCTTTGCAAACAATCTCCACTTTATGAACTTTGCTAAAATTGTATTGAAAATGTGCAGCTATGGAAAGAGTTTAAAATAGAATGTATAGCCCTATCACTGAAGAAATGAGGCCATCAGAAGAAAGGAAAAACATGTAAGTTGTCGAGTGATGACTAGAGAAACCAACATGTATATTTCCCATTTTTATGACTCAAACACATCTTTGGAAAACATGCTGCAAAGTCAAGTGCACAAACACGCACCATTTTAATTTCAGTTGAGGATACTTTTCCCGCTTTTATTTTAGGTTCAGGGGGTACATGTGCAAATTCATTACGTGAGTAAATTGCTTGTCACTGAGGTTTGATGTATGAATGATGTTGATGTCACCCACGTAGTGAGCATAGTACCCAAAGGGCAGTTTTTCAACTCACACCTGCTTCCATCCTCCCTTTTCTAGTAGTCCCAGTGTCTACTGTGTTATCTTTATGTCCACATTTACCCATTGTTTAGCTCCCGCTTATCAATAAAAGCATGTAGTATTTGGTTTTCTGTTCCTGTGTTAATTCACTTAGGATAATGGCCTCCAGCTGCATCCATGTTGCTGCAAAAAAGAATCATTTTGTTCTTTTTTATGGCTGTGTAGTACTCCATGGTGTATATGTACCCCATTTTTCTTTATCTAGTCCACTGATCAAGATGGGCATCTAGGTTGATTCTATGTCTTTGCTATTGTGAATTGTGCTGTGATGAACATACGGGTGCGTGTGTCTTTTTTGTAGAATAATTTATTTTCCTTTGGTTTAGACCCAGTAGCCAGATAGCTGGGTTGAATGGCAGTTCTGCTTTAAGTTCTTTTAGGAATCTTGACACTGCATTTCATGGTGACTGAACGAATTTCCATGTTAGTTTTTTTTTTTTTTTAAAGACAGGGTCTCATTCTGCTACCCAGGATGGAGTGCAGTGGTGTGATTATAGCTCACTGCAGCCTTGAACTCCTGCGCTCAAGCAATCTTCGCAACTCAGCCTCTCAGTAGGTGGGACTATAGGTGCATGCCACCATGCCCAGCTAATTTTTTTTCCATTTATTTTGATTTTTTGTAGAGACACTGTCTTCCTCCATTGCACAAGCTGGTCTCAACATGCTGGCTTCAAATAATCCTCCTGCCTCAGCCTCCCCAAATGCTGGAATTATAAGCGTAAGCTACCATGCCCAGCCTATTTTTTTACTTCAATAATAACCATTCTTACTGGTGTGAGTTGGTATTGCATTGTGGTTTTGATTTGTATTTATCTAATGATTAGTGATGTTGAGCATTTTTTCATATATTTGTTGGCCACATGTATGTCTTCTTTTGAGAAATATCTGTTCATGTCCTTTGCCCATTTTTAAATGGGTTGGTTTGTTTTTGCTTGAATTGTTCTAGTTCCTTATAGATTCTGGATATTAGACATTTTTCAGATGTATAGTTTGTGAATATTTTCTCCTATTCAGTAGGTTGTCAGTTTACTCTGCTGATAGTTTCTTCTGCTGTGCAGAAGCTCTGTAGTTTCTTTAGGTCCTACTTGTCAATTTTTATTTTTGTTGCAATTGCTTATGGGGACTTATTCATAAATTCTTTGCCAAGGCCAATGTCCAGAATAGTATTTCCTAGTTTTTTTTCTCTAGGATTTTTATAGTTTTAGGTCTTACATTTAGGTTCTTCACCTGTCTTGAGTTAATGTTTGTATATGAGAGAGGGAGGAGTCCAGTATCAATCTCCTATCTATAACTAGCCAGTCATCCAGCACCATTTATTGAATAGGGAGACCTTTTCTCATGGTTTGTTATTGTCAACTTCATCAAAGATCAGATGGGTGTAAGTATGCAGCTTCATTTCTGGTTCTGTATCTTGTTCTATTGGTCTATGTGTCTGTTTCGGTGCCTGGACTATGCCGTGCTGGTCATTGCAGCCTTGCAGTGCAGCATGAAATCAGACAGTGTGAGGCCACTGGCTTTGTTCTTTTTGCTTAGGATTTTTTTGGTTACTCAGGTTTTTTGGTTCCACATGAATTTTAGAATAGTTTTTTTCTAATTCTGTGAAAAAAAAATGATGTTGGTAGTTAGATAGGAACAGCAGTGAATCTATAAATCTCTTTGGGCACTATGGCCATTTTAATAATATTGATTCTTCCTATCCATGAGCATGGAAAATTTGTCCATTTGTTTGTGTCATCTATGGTCTCTTTTAGCATGTTTCATAATTCTCATTGCAGACATCTTTCACCTCCTTGATTAGCTGTATTCCTAGCTATTTTATTCTTTTTGTGGCTATTATAAATGGAATTACATTCTTGATTTTTCTCTCAAGTTAGACATTACTGGTGTGTGGAAATGTTACTACATTTTGTACATTGATTTTGTATCCTGAAACTTTTCTGAAGCTGTTTATCAGCTCTAGGAGCCTTTTAGCAGCGTCTGTGGTGTTTTCTGGGTACAGAATTATATTGCCTGCACTATGACAGAGCTAGTTTGACTTCCTCTCTTCCTATTGGGACGTCTTTTATTTCTTTTTCTTGCCTGATTTCTCTGGCTAGCACTTCCAATACTATGTTGACAGGAGTGGTGGGAGCAGGCATCCTTGTTTTGGTCCTGTTCTCAAGAGGAATGCTTCCAGATTTTGCCCATTTTTAAATAGGGTTGTTGGCTGTGGATAGATGGATAATAGATGGCTCTTATTATTTTGAGGTACATTTCTTCAATGCCTAATTTGTTGAGAGTTTTTAATATGAAGAGATGTTGAATTGTGTCAAAAGCCTTTTCTGTGCCTATTGAGATTATCCTGTGGTTTTTAATTGTTTATGTGATGAATCACATTTATTGATTTGTATATGGTGAACCAACCTCGCATCCCAGGAATAAAGCCTACTTGTTTGTGATGAATTAACTTTTCATTGTGGTGCTGGATTTGGTTTGCCAGTATTTTGTTGAGGATTTTTATGTTGATGTTCATCAGGGATATTGGCCTGAAGTTTTCTTCTCTGCTGTGTCTCTGTGAGGTTTTGGTATCGGAATGATGCTGGCTTTGTAGAGTGAGTTAGGGAGTAGTCCCTCCTCCTTGAACTTTTAAAATAATTTCAGTAGGGTTGGTACTAGCTCTTCTTTGTATGTCTGGTATAATTTGGCTGTGAATCCATCTGATCAAGGACTTTTTTGGGTAGATCTTGTATTACTGATTCAATATCAGAACTCATTATCGGTCAGTTCAAGATTTCAGTTTCTTCCTGCTTTAATCTTGGGGCTTGTGTGTTTCCAGGAGTCTATCCATTTCTTCTAGGTTTTCTAGTTTGTGTGCATAGAGGTATTTGTAACAGTCTCTGAGGATTTTTTATATTTCTGATACATCAGTTATAGTGTCATTTTTCTCATGTCTGATTGTGCTTATTTGGATCTTCTCTTTCATTTTCTTTATTAATCTAGCTAATGGTCTATCAACTTTGTTTATTCTTTTGAATAACAAACTTTTGGTTTCATTGATCTTTTGTATGGATTTCATGTCTCTTTCAGCTCTGATTTTATTTCTTTTCTTCTGCGGGCTTTGGGGTTGGTTTGCTCTTGTTCTTCTAGTTTCTCCAGGCCACACACCATTTCGTTTGATTTCCTGCACTAATAGAAAAACCACCAAGCTGCTAAAGGGACATGAGGTGAGATTGGGAGGTATTAGGCAGATCAAATGCCAGCTACATGAAATAAGAAATTAAAAGAGCTACTAGCAATTATACAAATACAAAGTTTATAACTCTGGCACAGAGAGGAGATATTCGACCAATTTTAGTTGACTGAATTAATTAAAGAATAAGATATCCCAGTGACATCTGTAGGAAGAACAGGACACTCTCCCTGGATTTTACTGTGCTCTAAAAACAAACAGTTCATTTTGAGCCAAAAAAAAAAAAAAAAAAGAAGACAAGAAATAGCTTAGAAAACAGATAAGATTAGCATGGTGACTAATTCAAGTCAAGATTTACTATAATGGGTCATTTTTAGTGTCCCTTGGCCACTTGAATTTCTCTGACCCAAACCTATGTTGATAGGGCTGGGTGAAAAGCAGGCTAAATTGGTGAAATGAAAAAAATGAATAATGAACAAGGTGTACTCTGAATAAGGAAATAAGACTAAACATTCAAAAAGGATTTCAAGAAAAATATACAGGCTGGGTGCAGTGGCTCACACCTGTAATCCCAGCACTCAGAGAAGCTAAGGTGGAGGACCGCTTGAGCCCAGGAGTTTGAGGCCAGCCTGGCTGACATGGTGAAACCGCATCTCGACAAAAAGCACAAAAAAATTAGCCAAGTATGGTGCCACATGCCTGTAGTCTCAGCTACTTGGGGGGCTGAGATGGGAGGATTGCTGGACTGGCCATTAACAGAGTTATTTGAGAGAAGTTCTCACATGGATTTAATCAACCTGCTAGCTTCTTAAAAGTTACTCTCACCAGTATAAATTTAGGCAACAATGTATCCGTGTGTGCTGACAGGGTAAGCTTTCCTCTTGTATAAAATGA